GTACTGAGTCGGTTGTCTCCTTGGGTGAGGAATCCCCAACTCAAAATCCCAAATCAATCCTATATAAGCCTATATTACCCTATATAACCCGTTATAGTAGTTTCCATTTTCTTTTCCATCGTCCCAATATAATCCCTATATAACCCCTTTAAAGGGACCCATATTCTATCTACTTAAGGGGGACTATACAGCATGCTCCATGGTACTAGGCCCGGCACACGGCTCCTGCTCGGAAGAAAACTTTTGCCGTCAACCAGAGCACCCGGCCGCTCATCACCAGGCAGAAGGCGATAGAGAGGGCCACCAGAAATTCTTGGCCAGCTTATACACTTCAGTCATACTGTAGTAACAATAAAAGAAGAACAATAATATATAGCCAATTTTTGTGATGAGATATATATATATAATATATATAGAATGTAATGGTGATATAGCGATAAAAAAAAAACATAGTTACATAGTAATGTCTACTGACACACTTCACAGACCACTTGCATTCATTGCAGGCCCAGGTGCTCTTAACTGCAGGAATGGGTATCACTGCAGGCCGTGGTGCATCCTACGTGTACATTGAGGTTTGAACCTTCACAAACGCATCTGCAAGCACGATCTCTTAACGGGTTGAAGTGAGGGAAATTGGCCCGGAAGCAAAAAAGGTTGAGCCCAAAAGTCTGACTGTCGCGTTTGGGGTGCTCCCGACCCAAACCCCCTCCTCCGCTGTGGAATCTTCCGGGAGACTGCCATATACGGGCGTCGTCTCATCGACGCTTTCCAGGCGTCCATCTGTCAGGCAGCAGGATGGTTGTCAAAAAAATGTGGATGTATCTTACTGGTTCTTAATAGGGGATAAGCAATGTATTATATAGGGATTCTATGAGCTCTCGTCTAGTCTAAATTCCTAGCATCCCCCTTAGTAACCCCTATGATACTCCCCCTATATTACCCCCTTTAAGGAGTACAGACTAAAGCTCTTTTCGGGATTATCTTCCCTTTTAGACTACTAAGAACCAGCAAGGCATATTTGCATTGCCAGGTGCCGGGACCATGCGTCGTTGGCATGTTCTCTATGCAGAAGTGGAGCCGCAGGGTCAGCAAAGTACCTTGACTTTTGCCAAGAATATTTAGGGTTTAGGGTTTAGGGTTTAGGGTTATCCCTATATGGTCCCCCTTAAGTAGATAGAATATGGAGTTGGATATACCATAATAAGATCCCCATATACCCCATCTTCTATTTTGTTATGGGACTATCATAATCTAGAATCCCTAAATAATCCCTGTATACTCCCTCAATAATATATCCCCTTCTTCCCAACTATAACCCCAATATATCTATATATATATATATGTACTCTTCTAGAACGTAATAGACCCTAAACCCTAAACCCTAAACTAAATGGTCTTCCATCATTGCTTGGCCAGAGGAAGAAGACTTCAATTTCAGCAAAGCTGCGAACAACAAGCCTAGAGAAGACTCTCATGACAAACCTCAGCTGTCTTTAGGGTTTAGGGTTTAGGGCTTAGGGCTTAGGGTTCAGGGCTTAGGGTTTAGGGTTTAGGGTTTAGGGCTTAGGGTTCAGGGCTTAGGGTTCAGGGCTTAGGGTTAAGGGGTTAGGGTTTTGTGTTTTGGGTTTAGGGTTATTACCATTACTTAGGGTTGGGGGGTGTCATTTTGCTTTTGAAGTCTTAAAATCTTAAGATGATGGAAATTTGGGTACCCTAAGTATTGGTAAGTTTATATGGGCGTGAGGGTTTGGGGTTTGGGGTTTAGAGTAGGAAGCCCAAAAAGTTACAGAAAGACAGAACACAGCCAAGAAACTTTTTAATCGGTTCCAGTACAATGACGATGAGCACTGCGAATATGAATGGAAGCAGCACTTCGGCAAAGGTGATAAGAAGCTGGATGGTCAAATAACCTTTGCAATCACAACACGCCAAGGCTCAAATACAAGCAAGAGCATGACGGCCAAACAAACCCTTGTAGAAGTAAACCCCTCCCAAAGTTCTCTGAGCAAAGTAGCAAGCAGTCACAGACACCGCAAACTTCACCAGGTAAAACCCACGAATCTGAGATGAGGTTGACTTCATCTGCGAGGCGCGACTGGGGCCTCAAAGAATCCATCCACACGCAATCCTGCTCTAAAGAAAAAAAACCGCGTCCGACCTGGATCTCCGGGCCGAAACTCGTCCAGGCCGGCGTCTCTGCCGCGATGTCGCAGGCCCTCGCGCCGCCTCAAAACCCGCTTCCAACGCGCCTCTCCTGGGACCTCGTTTTACCTCTGTTCCAAGCCACATTGGAAAGGTGTTCTCCGTAAACGCACGGAGGCGTTCATTTTCGCTGCCTGTTGGTGCCTGACAGATTCGGGCAGAACATCCCCAGCTTCATGGGGCCATGACAAGCCCGGCCTGTGAGGCCTGCGAGCTCTCCATTTCCACAACATCTCCATTCCCCGGACTATTTACCGAAGGGAAGCGGACAGTTGAGCTTTCACCTCCCAAGGCCAATCACGCGCATGCAAGTCCTAACAAAAAGACGACTGCAAGCACCGGCCTGGGGTTCGAGTTGGCTCCGTGTTGGAGTCCATCAACACTACTATCCGGCAAAGTTCGAGAAAACGCTGCCCAGGCAAAGTATCAGCGCAACAGGCAGCATCAAGAGGCACAACTGCACATACTGTGACCAACCAAAGCCCACTTGTTGGAACTACAACAAGGACAAGAATCCAGCTCCTTGAAAAGAATGCGAAAGGCTAAGTACTGGCGTATGCCTGCTGGAAATCTTGTTAATGTGGGGGTTTCCTAAAATTGGGGGTGCCATTTTGGGTGCTCCGATGATAAGGATTATATTTAAAATTGGGGTCTATATGGGGTCCCCCGATTTTGAGAAACTACCATTAAACCCTAAACCCTAAACCCTGAACCCTAAACCCTAAACCCTAAACCCTAAACCCTAAAACCTAAACCCCCATGTTAGACCTTGGTTACAGGAGGTGTTGGCAAGGCTCCGAGCAGAGTCAGCTCATCCAGAAGCTGGTGTCAACACAACTACGCCCAAGATTGCCATAACTTAGGGTTTAGGGTCTAGGGTTTAGGGTTTAGGGTTTAGGGTTTGGGATTAAGGTTTAGGGTGCTGATGAAAGATCCACCTGCAAGAGTCTGATGAGGCATCTAAGAATCATCTGAGCTGTAGTCTGAACTCCGAGTATCCCCCTTAATCAGCCCTATAGGATTTCCCTAGATGATCCTTTGTATAGCCCCGCTTTCAGAAGTGTAGACTATGGCTCATCTAGGAAGCCACACATGTTCGTTCGCAACGAAGCCTTTAAGGGGATGCTCCCAAGAGCCCCTACTGTTGATACTAAAAATTCGGCATGACCTTGCTACAATAGTACTAGGATTACCAATAACATCCTTAAGGTCATGCAGGATCTTTAGTATCCACCGTAGGTTTCGGAAGCATCCCTCTTGAGAACTACCTGCGGCCAGAAACAACCGTTTTGATCCTAAATCATGGTTTAGGCTTTAGGGTTTTCCAGTTTAGGGTTTTGATGAAGGGCTTTGGGTTCTGGGTTTAGGGCTTCTGAAACCTTAGTAGAGACACAACCCACGCCAACAGGAAGCTCGGCCCCGCACGCGTGGGCTCGCCTCCTGGCTCGGCCATCTCCTGGCAAATGAGCTTTGAAGGGATTTAAGATTTAGGATTTAGGGTTGGGGTTTAGGGTTTGGGATTTAGAGTTTAGGGTTTAAGTTAAAGTTTTGGTGGTTTGGGGTTTAAGGTGTTTCAGTGAGGGGGTTGCGCTGGTGCTGGAAGCACCCAGGCGCGCACCCTTTGAGGGCTTGGGGCTCTCTCGAACTCTGACCGCGTTTGAGCTGTGGAGGCCTTCAAGACTTGAACCAGGTGGACCTGTCCAGATGAACCGGTGCAAGGTTTGGGTTGGGCTCGAGGCCTCTTCTTCAGATGGAGGTTGGCTGGACGCCTCCATTCCTGAACGACTGGACCTGTGTAGACGAGGCGGGTGCAAGGTTTGGGCTGAGTCTGGCTCGGTTTTTTTTTTCGAGATGAAGCCCTGGCTGGAGGCCGTCATGCCTCGAACCACTTAAGCCCGTTTGGAGCAGGTGGGTGCAGGATTTGGTTTTGGGTCTGGCTCGAGCCCTCTAGTTGTTGCACTTCAACCCTTGAATCACATGGCCTGTCCAAACCGGCGGGTGCAAGGTTTGGGTCTGGGTCTGGCCCGAAGCCTCTAGTTCTCTTCAGCCAGCGACCTTGCAATGGGAGGCTTCTAGTGGTGCAGGCTTTGGCTGAAAGGCTGTGCTCCGGCTCCTGAGGCCGGAGGCTTTGGGAAGAAGCTGTCCTGGCGCTGGAAGACGTGTTGAGGCCCGGAGGCCCTGCTAGAAGCCCTGGAGCAGCGACCTGCCGGTTCCGTCTCCAGCCGCAGCTACCTCGCCTTCGGTGCGTCCCTGCTCGACTGCCGCGAGCTCACACAGTTTAGGGTTTAGGGTTCACTGGTTACGGCTTTGGTTTATTAGCACGATATGCAGGAAGGGAAAAGAAAGTGTAGACAAGCTATAACTTGCCTCTTGTTCATCCCATCCCTGGAAAATGAACCCTCTTAATAAGACATATTTCTATTGCTGGGATGAAGGAATGGATTCCTAATACTAATTCATCCCCATACTAATCCCTCCGATCCTTCTTTCCCCTGTACTTTTGCATCTGGTCTCGTTGAACCACAGAACCCTTCCTTCCTTTTCATCCCCTTCTGACAAGCAGGCAAAATTGAGGAAGATGAATTCTGTTGTCTCTTGCGCTGACTTTTCTAAAGAAATCCTCTAAGGATTACAGGGAATAGCCAGACGAGTGCAAATCGTTTTGGGGGACCAATCACTCATTTCAGGGTCAGAAAACACAAGCTGTGTTATGTTTCGAGCATGGCCAGCCGTGCATAAATGGGCCGGTTATCTTCCAGCCCTGCATGGCTGCATTCCCAAAAACTGCGAACATGAGCACATGAAGTCCAGCCAAGGGAACAAAGAAAGAAGCCATGATTTAGGGCTGAAGTGAGCGCTCTTGGCTTAGTAAGGCCATGAAACCATCCATAGCTGAGAAATCGCACAGCAGAAAAGGCACTACAAACGCAGCTTCTCTGCTGCAGACTCTGGCACATGCTGATATATCTGACAACTCTTAATTGCAGAGAGTCACACCTCGGACATCACCCCTGTCGGGCGGCATACCTGCATGTGAAGCAGACGTCCGAAAAGAACGTTCATCAGCTGAGAAGTCACTGGTAGCAACCTGCAAGCAAACCAGTTTTGCACCGCGCAATCTGTTGTCCCGGCCGAGCTGGATCAGCAGCAAGTGCGTTGTACCTCGTGCTGTACTTCCCCAGTGCAACGGGTTGCCTTCATCACATTCATTTCAGCACACCTGGGTTGTGGATCGCACCATACGGCACCTCATACACCAGGTGGCTTCTTTGAAACATCGCGTCCGCCCCAACTGTTCTTCAAGCTTGCAGCTCTGATAATCTAACTTCAATTTGCAATTCTTTGTCGGATAATCAGTTGATGGGACCACATGCTAACCACCACCAGCTTCCTGATGGCGAAGCTACATAGGCCCAAACATGGGTGCTGGTCTACGCAGGTTTTTTTGCGTCAGCACCCCCAAATTGTGGCAAAAGCTGCGCAAGGATCTCGCGCAGGTTCTCCCAGATTTCTTTTGCAGCCTTGGGGGTTTCTTCTGCTCTGGTAGAGGCCAAAACACAGCCCATGAGCTGCAGAGGCGCTTTCTCACTGACGCTGGGCCGGTGTGGTTGGCCTTAGGGTTTAGGGTGTAGGGTTTAGGGTGCCAGCTGCCAGCCTCGAAATTTCTACCGAAGCCATGCTGGCGGCATGGGGAAATTCTAAACACCTCGTTGCCAGCCCTTGGCCCTGCGTGCACAAGAAGATGTGGGCAGGTCGAAAAAACTGCCCATGTGAGCAATAGTCTAAACTCCTAGTATCCTCCTTAATAACCCCTATTTAGGCCCCTATATAATCCCCTATATAACCCCCTTTCAAGGAATTTAGACTATTGCTCATGTGTTGGCCTGGTGCTGTGCAACCCTGGACAGCTGTTGTAGTGCCATCCCGGTAGGCCACGCCTTCACACGGTTCAACTGTACTCCCCCTAGACCTTTAGTAATTCCTTAGGAGTGTAGTATAGTACCATGGTAGGAATGCAAGAAGCTGTACTCCCCCTAGACCTTTAACAGTTTGATAAGAATATACTATAGTAAAACTGACAAATAGTTCCTAAGGAGAGCACAAGACCGTCCGTAAAGGACAGAAACAGAATTGTATCGATGGAAGACACTAGCGGCCATGGAGCCTCGGCGTCACACAGTTTCACCGTGTGAGGCCAAAAGCTCCTAAGCCACGAGGAACTCATGCACCCTGACATGAGATTTTTCAAACAATTTCTATACGGGTAAGGGTAAAACCACATTCGGCGGCCTCAAACTGGCGGGAAGACGAAAGCTTGCTGTAATAGACCACACCGCGAAATTTCGCAGGTGGGTGCCAGCTGGGCACTCAGGATGTGGCTCCTAAGCATGAGGGACCCTAAGTGGGAGACAGGGAACTCGGCATGTTGACTACCATGTCTCCCGTCCACAAACAATTATTCTCTTCCACCATGGCTGCAAGAAGGCCAACTCCCGTTCGGAAGAAGCCAGCGCATGAAGAAAGCACAAATTGCAGGATAACTTCTGCGCAAACATACCCGTAGTCTCAGGCCAGTATGATGTTAAAAAAATGTGTGCCAGTCAGATTCGCTTGCAGAGATGGTGAAAGGATCCGACAAGAAACTGGAACAGCTCGGTAATTGCTGCGACGTGGGGTGCCAAACTCTGGCTCTGCGCAGCCGGCTAGAAAAAACACCTACATTGACTAAAATTACAGACAAGATTCATCTCAATCCCTCTCGAACCATAACTAGGGCCCAAAGTATCTAGATAAGAACCCATTTGGGACCAATTTATCTACTATTTGGCCCTAAGAACAACTGCACCTCCTCGCCGCAGTATCAGCCAAGTCGTTGTGGG